CACCTACAGTGGGTGTGCATATGCAGGGAGACCAGTAATAATCACTTTCGCCAACTCTCGCGACATGAATGCGTCATCTGAGTTAACCGCTACATATTGTAGAGGGAGAGCTTTAGATATTTCGAGAGATCCACGTTACCTGGCGCAATTTACGATTTTGGTATTGTAGCAGGTTGAACTCCTACCTGTCCGAGGTATTTACTGCATACAAAGGTTCCCTGCATAGCAGTTAAGTTACACCCCATTCCCTTCCTTTTATTTGGTCCGAAAGCACGTTTCCAGGCCCTAGCGCTAAGTGAGCTTGATGATAATGATAGAAATATTTAGCTAATATTAGCTGCTACATCACAACTACTATTTGGCCTGTGGAGGCACACACACGCCACTCCAAAATGGTCTTCACGTTTGCGTTTGTACGTTAGCTCTAGTAGAGGTAATGTGCTCTTTTATGTAAATTTTTGTGGATGGATTTATTTTTAAACCAACGCTTTTAAATAGGGCAGTTTTGAGGTATACGGTTCTTCCTTTTATTTTGAAGAAGACTCAATAAAAATGGCAGATGTTTAACGGCAGTGTGCTTTTATATTTGTGCGGTAATATTACGGCAATCGCTTCATCACTGNCTTTTAAATAGGGCAGTTTTGAGGTATACGGTTCTTCCTTTTATTTTGAAAAAGACTCAATAAAAATGGCAGATGTTTTACGGCAGTGTGCTTTTATATTTGTGCGGTAATATTACGGCAATCGCTTCATCACTTGCATATTTATATGTTTATGTATGTGTATATACGTATTTGGTTTGTTTTATCACAGCGAGCGAGATAACTGATTCCGGGGCTCTTTTTTTTGTGTTAACCAAATTTAATATCGATTATTAATTGATTGATGTAGCAAACCATGAATACAAGATGAAGGAAGGAGGAACGGGTCTGAAATTTTCATACCTCTACGCCGATTCATTATTTATACACATACATACATACATACATACATGTGTACATATGTATACTAAAATTTTATTTTGCCATTTTTTGTGTGCTTTCATTGCCGCCAACGCTTCCTGTTGGAGATGTAGATTCGGTTGGCAGCTCGTCGAACATTTCTTGTTTTTACAGCCATAAAAAAAAAACAGAAGCAAGAAAGTGCTTGAAGTGAGCTCAGGGAAATTACCGTGGCGTACATTTGTAAATGTAAATATAGCAATAGGTGTGTATTTGTACTACATACTAAAGTGTATAAATATCTAGTTATGTTTGTACATGAATTTGTTTGTAAAAGTGTTTTGATACTCGTTGCGCGAATTGGTTGAACGTGCATTGTTGGCGAGGGCGAAGCTCTAGATGGAAAATGGATAGGTGAAAGAAGATGGAGTATGCGCTAAAGGAAGAACCAACAAAATTACTTGCCAAGCAGTCACTTACATACATAGTAGCTACAAATAAAAATGTACATACATGAATAAGTATGCATGTAGGTATATATATTTGTGAAGGGAATTGCAAGGCACCAAAGCAACAGCTTCACTCACATCGAACATTGTTGTTGGGGATAACAAATTGATTGTATTGCATACTTTTTTGCTGCTTGACTAGGTAAAGTGCGCGCCAGCATGTCAGCAATACTAAGCTCAAACAGCACCAGCACACTACCGCCCGCACGTATGAATGCAATTGTGTGGGTTTAGATGTATGTATACGCCAAGAAGAATACTATACATGCATAAATCGCTGAGGTGTAAAACATGCCATCAGCAGTTTTAATAGAATTTCGTATGTGAGCTTTAGTGTGATCACACACCCTCACAGTCAGGCATAGCATTTTTTGGTGCATATACACACACTTACGTATGTAGGTATGTATTGGTTATATATAATAAAATGTATTGCATACTTCAGGGATGCATAAAATGTTGCCTTTGCATAACAAGGAATGGGGATAGGAGAGTGAACAAGATGTGTGCACAAAAATATTAAAGCATCATTTCAGACGCTTAAAGACGTTAAACTCCAAAGTGTAGTGGTTGTGTTAATATTTTGCGGTACTCGGGCTTCTGGGTTTCACGTTTGAGATTGTGCGTAATAATGAACTTCTTATAAAAGCATACAGTACATACAAAAAATGCTGACATTTAGAGTGTAATAAATATTTTATATATAGATGCGATTAAAAGAAAACAACGGAAATTCAGAGCAAAAAAAAATTTAAAAATGAAGAAGATGAATTCAAAGTTTAAAGAATAAAAAGCTGGAATGCAATCTTGTAGAAAAGTATAGTAGCCACGAGGTCTGTCTCCAAAAACGAGAAGTAATAAATTTATTAACTCACATATTCGTGCGCGTGTTCATACACATGTAAGTACATGCATATGTATCTGGAACTCGGTCGCTCATCAATTGTTTTTTTTTTGAAAAATTGCATGTAGATACATACAGTTAAGTGTCATAACAATTTTCGACATTCATGCATCTAATCGTTATTTCTTACTATATAACTGGGTTGTCATGGCGTATGAGTTATGTATGTATTTATCAGCATCAACATTTAGTCCGGTTGGAATAGAAATTTCAAGTCGCTATAACTTTTTTTATTTATTAATTTATTATCACGCTTCAAAGAAAAATAATTAGCGCTTGCTTTAAAGTTTTATTTAAAGAAGAGTGATGTTATACATATTTAGTGGGATAGAAAAGGGTTATTGTAATTTAGTAGGCCATGGGCGTACTCAAGGTCGGCGGTATATTAAATAGATGTACATATAGTACTAAAAGTAAGTAAACAAACAAGTAAGAAAGTCTAAGTTCGGGCGGAGCCGAACATTAAATACCCGGCGCAAGTGTTAAATATATATATGTTATCCACCTTTCCGAAAACTACTGCTACATGGTAAGAAGAGGTAGTTTTAACCCTATTTTAACCATCTTCGATAGAACGTTCAGTTAGACATACTGAGATAAACTTATATAGTCATATGTGAGCGATATCACACCCATTTTCTGAAATTGCATCCTAAATGTATTTCTTCGTAAAGAATTGTTGCAAGCATACATTTTAATAAATTAGCTTTAATATTTACTGATTTATAGAATATTTCGTATTTTANTGTACATTTGTCTATATACATCTCGATTCGTTTTGGCTGTTACAAAAAACCGTTATGTGAACAAAATTAATATACCCTTGTGCACAAGTGCGCTCGGGTATAATGAATATTCCACTGGCCGTGGGACTCGAACCTACGACCTCGCGTCTCGTAAATCCGCATTATTGCCTTGCAGGAAATTTAATTAGTTTGAAAGTAATTTATAAACTACTTTATTTTCAATGATAACTAACTGAAATTCTCGCTATTTTACCTGCAACGAACTCATTTATTTAACATGGCGATGACCTAGGAAGCAGTCAATTGCCTTTTCCTGCATGTATTTTCAACTACAGATGCTTTTTCATATTTAAAAGACCAAACAAAAAATTATTATTATTTTCACATGTTGCCTCTGTTGGGACTCGAATCCGGACCTTCTGGCATCTCTGCACGCTCAGCTACAGCCAGACATGTACATGTGATTTCAAATGTTCAGTTTGAATTGTGTCGACTGTCATATTCTGCATTTAATTTCAACTACTTTAAAATGAATTTGGTTTAAAGAACTCCAAAGTCAGTATGTTTCTTTTGAATACGTTTACGTTCTGCACTTCACAGATGCTTTTTCATACTTCCAAGACACAAATTATTTTTTTAGTAAAAAGAGTATCAAAATACGAAATATTTACTCTTTGCATTTGTTTTAAAGTAGTCTTTCAATTAGTTGATTTAAAAAAAAATCACTTGTTTCCGTCAGGGTGGATGGCGTCTGTCAAGGCACAATTTTGATCTAGAAAAAGAAGTTTAATTAGGAGATGTGGTGATCTCCGAAATAGCTACTATAACTTCTACCGCTAAGACTTTGCTGCTATTTCCATTTTCCCTAATATCCAAAATCGTGGTACAAAGCTCAACAACAATATTTATATTACAAAAAAGTAGCCTCAAGTTAAAATCAATACGATTTTTTAGCCGTAAGTTGAAATTTCGATAAAAATTTTTTGAATATTCCTAAATTTTGTATAAAGTTTGAAACTGTGATTTATATATTTTTGGGTGAAGCTTGAACGGTTTTTTATAGAAATATAACAAAAAAATATTTAACTGGAAAAATATTACGAATATTAAAAAAAAACATGTGGTCATTTGTTTGAGTCACTGTATATTCTGGCCTAATGCGATTTTGTTTTTTTAATTACGCTCATCTAATGCACTCATCTAATACCTACGTCACATAACACTGTGAGACAAATGGTAGGGGTCAGTGTTCGGGAAGGGTTCAAACTACCGGGGAAAGTTATATCGGTAAAAAAGAAGTTATACGTGTCCCGGCGTTTCGCTGGGTCACGTCTAGGAATCGAGATATATCGATTTGAAGTTAGTAACTATCATATAGGGGAAATTGTCACCTTTGGTGGTCTTTTTTTTTGACATAACTCGAGAACCACTAGTCCGATTTTGCTCAAACAAATTTAAAAAAATTTTAAAAATTACAATTCCTTTAATCTGTTCATTAGGGCGGGTCGATTTAAAAATCGCTCATTGCTCTGTGAAAATCGTATTCTAGGGATCAAAATAAGAAACTTTGCCGAAGGAACCATACTTCTAAAACGAATTCTGATGTCCCCCAATTTTGAAAAATCCCACTTTGACCCATTTAGAGTGCTCCAATCGAGTCCAAATGTATGACCGACCCCCACTAACTTTGGACGGCCGATCCACCCATGCCAGTGGCACACCCCCTGGAATTCCCCTGGGGGGTTCCCCACACAATCATATCAAAAAATCACCATTTTTGGCCTTTACATGAAAAAATCAGCTAAATGGCTGTGTTTTTTCTTTATTTTTATTTATTTATTTATAATAATATTTATTATTTATTTATAATAATATCTATTTTTTCTCTTAAGAAATTTATTTAGTCAGAACATATGTAAATGAAAAAATTAATTTAAGTGAGTTATAGAAAAGAAACTAAAAAAAATTATTGTTTGAAGTCTTTTTTACTTTCAAGTCTGGGCAATTTCGCACGGCTCTCTAATGTCGTCGCCATAACAGCCTCTACATTTTCCGGTATAACCCGTTTGGAAACGCTAGCTAGCAATTGAACATGTCGTTCCGTTCCTTGTATGTGTGATGGAATTTTTGGATCATTAAACGGTGGATCATCTTGATTTAAATATTCTTTCAATGTATCGTACGGAATGCTTCGCGTGAATGGTGGTTCAAATACGATATTTATATCATTCAAATTGATCATTTCCGTATAACTTGTGCAATTAAAGTTTATATCTGGTTTTTTATAAACTCTAAGTTCCATTGGCTCGTCAACATCGGTTCGATAGCGTAGAATTTTCTTGATGGCACAGTCGCGCTTTTCTTTGCTATCATCAAACAACATTGATAACAAGATATTTTCCGAATGCGCATAATATGAATTATCTTTAATTACTTGATTGACAATTTTGCGTAAACGAGGTTCTAGAAATCGTGACCAACCAATGAACTTGAAAAATAATGCACTGCCGTACACGACAGAGCTGTAATACTTGATATTGAAGTACATTGGCACATAACATTTAATTATAAATTCAACCAGAATTCTTAAATTTGCATCTGGATTTTCCGTTGTCACATATAATCGCAATAATCTAGCGGCCTTGGTGAGCCACCGAGAATGTACAATTTTCCCTGGTTTGATGTTAGCCAGATCCACCGGAACCACGCCGCTAGAAATTGCATGGGCCATGTCGTATAAGTACTTCGAATCGGTGGAAAATTCAATTTTTTCAGGAGCAGGGGGCATATTTTGCAACTCAATTTTCTGGAAGCCGTCCACCACCTGAAAATATATAATAATAAAATAATTAAAAATGGTTGACAATTATAATAAATGAGTGATAGCAATAACTTACCGGAAGAGTTTCACAAGTTTCGATTTGACGGCTCAGTTTTCCGGTTGCCGATCTTGGTCCAGTGCTGGTTGATTTATCCAAAGCTTCAAACAAATGCCGAAACGGAAGTTCGTTGAAGTGTAGAAGGCAAACGAACCAATGCAATGGTCTTTTTAACAGCAATTCGAATCGTCGTATAATTCCACCGTGTGGGCCAGTGTTTGTTAGCTCACCGTCAGTGCATATTCCAATTAATGCATCCAGTGATATATTTTTATCGTTGAAAAAACCATTTAATTTGGTTGTTTTGTATTCAGCGGTTTCATGTTCCAGTCTTACGTAACCAATCAATTCAGAATTGGGTTCTCTCAAAATAACAAGATGAGGTTCTTTTACCATCCTAGTATGATACTTCTCATCAATTTTATCTATCGTTAAAGTATCATCTTTTCTGCCATCGAATGAAAACGCTAACAAATTGGTATCATCTAACCGTTTGCGAAGCACTTCTTGTCTGCATTTCTCTTTTTCTCTGCGAACTTTCGATTTATCCATGATGAGAGGTTTCCCATGCTTATCTTTAATTTTAAAATCTTGCAAAAGAGCGGTTCCCAATGCTGATGCTACTCTGTCAGGCACACCAAATCTGTCACATACCAAGGCAAAGTTAAAACAATCGTATCTCTCTGTGTATTGTGAACTTGTGCTTCTATCCATATCTTCTTGAACCGGTGGCGGTGCGTATGTTGAATCATCGGGATCTTGGTATGTTGGCATTGATGACATAGACGTTGCTCCTTGCTCTTCAGTTTCCATCACAAATGCATCCATTGTTAGTCTTCTCTGATTATGTTGATCGTGCATGAACTCTTTGAGGCGTTCGGGAACCCAGCCGCATGCACATGGAGCTGCCTTCAAATCGCATTTACATGTTCCAATGTAAAAAATTGTTTCCAGAGATTTTACATACTCTGTAAATTGTTGGGTGTTGTTTCTTCTCTTGATTTGCTCTTGATACTTGTCAAGCAATTTATTCAATTTATTAAATACACTTTTTTTCAGCATTATTTCCATACCAAGTTTTTCCCAAATTCCAATCAACTTATCTTGTACTTGAATAGTGAATGATTTATGGGAAAACTTTTTTTGTTCTGTTTTAGCACGTTCGCTTAAGTAAAAATAATATCTCAAGATATCCAGATGGGTTGGTAAATTAAGATCAGTTAAATCAGTAGACACACCAAAAACAGTAACATCATGCTTGGGTATATGACTCATTGGGTTTTCGATAGTTGTTGATGTAGTTGCTTCATCTTGCGGTGTAGAGGATGGTGGATTCATTGTAAACTTTTTGATTTGGAATGGTCACTTCACTTATTATTTTTTTTGAAATATTTTTTTATCTGAAATTAGCACTTCACACTTTGAGTTCTTCACAACGACTTAATGCATTCACAAAAACTGTTGCGATATATATGGTCTACGAGACGAGGTAATAAGAATGAAATGGTAATTTCAATTCTACCTGCTGTGTCTTGTGGTGGCTTAAAAAAAAACAACACAAGCAATTTTACGATCTGCAATTGTGTCACAGTGATACCTTCATTGTTTAAAAGGGTTGCGGTGCATTCCAGTGATACCTTAATTGTTAAAATGGTTGCAAAAAACGCGCATTTCTTAAGAAGGTGCCTTAAAATACCCACAAAAAGGGTTGTAAAAACAACCTTCATTTCTTAAGTAGGTGCTATAAAAAAACTACACAAGTAAGTTTACGACATGCAGCTGTGTCTTAAAAAACGCACACAAGCAATTTTCCGATTTGCAATTGTGTCACAGTGATACCTTCATTTTTTAAAACGGTTGAATAAAAAACCCACACAACTATGTTTACGACATGCAAATGCATCACAGTGATGCCTTGGTTTTAAAAGGGTTGTAAAAACGCTAATTTCTAATAATTTTTTTTAATTTCTTTTCTATTACTAAGTTAAATTCATTTTTTCATTTACATATGTTCTGACTAAATAAATTTCTAAAGAGAAAAATAAACTCCAAAAAGAAAAAACATAGGCATTTCGCTGATTTTTTCATGTAAAGTGCAAAACCGGCGATTTTTTGAAATGTTTGTATGGTGAACCCCCAGGGGGGTTCCAGGGGGTGTGCCACTGGCATCGGTGGGTCGGGCCTCCAAAGTTAGTGGGGGTCGGTCATACATTTGGACTCGATTGGAGCACTCTAAATGGGTCAAAGTGGGATTTTTCAAAATTTGCCCCTACCCAAAAGTTCGACCCAAATTGGGGGACATCAGAATTCGTTTTAGAGGTATGGTTCATTCGGCAAAGTTTCTTATTTTGATCCCTAGAATATGATTTTCACAGAGCAATGGGCGATTTTTTTGCCTCCCCACAAATCGACCCGGCCTACTGTTCATATAACGTTTTTCTATATAATCAACAGTTTTGCCGGTAAAAATAAATGTATGAAGAAAAAAAAATATTTTTTGCCTAAAATATTAAATGTTTTTGTTTTTTAAATTCATAAAAAATCCAAAACGGAAAAAAGGCAAATTGTATTACTTTCACGCACAGTCACATAACCTTTAAGCAAAATGAGACATATATCATGAAAATCGATGGACGCGTTTCGCTTTTTTTCACAATTAAGTGAAGGTATCTCATTTTGACAAGAATATTTCCCCTATATGATAGTTACTAACATCAAATCGATATATCTCGATTCCTAGACGTGACCCAGCGAAACGCCGGGCCACGTATAACTTGTTTTTGACCGATATAACATTTCCCGTTGGTTTCATCCCATCCCGATTTTGACTGTCGCATAGTGTAATTAATTCCATAATAGCATATGGTTCATATAATACATAAATGAAACAATTGTTCACAAAGGGCCAAAATCGTTATTAATTTAATTTTTTTTTAACCTTGGCAACTATTACGCCCACCAAAAAATTTATCTAAATGTTTTTATTGCTAAAATTAGTATGTACTTAAAATTCACAAGCATATTTTTTGGGAATGAAATGATCTTGCCAACAAAACCAACACATTAACACTAACAAACCACAGACTTGAGGCAACTGACGGTTATAAGGAGACGTGCAGGTTTCGTATATGTGCGATATACACATATGTAGGTATACGCTTCTATGGACATATGTACATTAGGGTGGTTCTCTTCAGGAGATTTTCAATAATAATACCCAATTGTTTATTTAAAAATTTTTAATACTAACGATTTTTTATTGGTCGCCCCATTGCAATTTTCGGGGTTTTTGTGGGTTTTTGGCGGACCTATAAATTATAGTTGGAAAAAATGGTTAAATAGACAATTGGGTATTATTATTAGAAATCTCCTGCGGATAAACAGTTTTGTGGTAGGAAAATATTGATTTTTAACTATTTTATACCCTTTCTACGAAAAGTTGTTTTTTCTCCATGTAAAATACATTGAAAACTTTAGGCGCGTTGAGCGGCCTCTAAATATTTTTTGATTTCAAAATAAAAAATATGGGTATATTTTTTCGGTATAGAACAACCTAGGGGGTGAGAGCATAAAAATTCCGACTTTACTTTTCCACATAAATTTTTGCACCAAGCAAATGCTACATACATACATATGTGTCAGAAACAGAAGGACATTATAAGACGAACGGTAGAAAGTAGAGTTTGGAAAAAAATTCTGATTTCAATCGACAACTTCATCAGACAGGATAAGCGCGTTAAAAGGTGTCCTGACAACGCCGAGTAGCTACAGGTTTGTTGATTTTGGTCCGGATGCCTTTCTGTGAAAAGCAGCAGTTTCATTTAAAGCGTCACGTTCATATGTAGCTACATGCGTGTGTATTTATATAGGTACTTCACACTGACACACATCGGTCAGTTTTTCAGGTGAACCTTTCATCACTTCACGAATGGTCAGTGTTGACATAGCCACATTAATGGGCGACCGTAAGTTGGTAGTAGAAAACAGGAAAATGCCGTCTTTCACGTTAAAATTCTGCACAAAAGCAATGCGGACCTTAGAGCCTGTTTATCTAACTGCTTCCACGTACACACAAACTATAAACATTTACTAAAAAGTTTCAGTAAGGAAAGTCAGAATTGAAAATTATTATCTACCGAATTGTGGATGTATTTGATGGTTGAAGGGGCTGCGTAAGAAAACCAGCAGAGAATCTAAGGGGTATAGGGGGCGCAAATAAAAGCTCCCATACTTTTGTGAGTTTATTAACGCCATTGGCATAGCTTTTGTGCCTGCTGTCCAGTCAGTCACTTGGTTGGATGTGGGTGTTGTGTTGTCAAGCGTGCAGAAGCGTGATTTAGATAAGCGACCATAATGGCTAAGGGACTTTGGTGGTTTTGTGTATATTATTACTTATTGTACTCTTGTTGTTGTTTACAAAATATATGAGTTTGTGCGGTTTGCTTATTTTGCTACAGCTCCATGCTTATTGTTGTTTTTTATGATGTACTTTAATTGCGCACAGGGGAGTAATTTTCAACTTGTAAAATTATCGACAAACACAAGAACGTGCATCTCATGTGGTAGCAATTGAATGCAGTGTATATGCACACAAATGTACTCTCGTATGTAAATACATATGTATGCTTAAAAGTTTTGTAGTAAAACATACTCGATGCCTCTGCTGGCCACAAGTGTCAGGGCTCAACAAATTTGTGTGCGACATTTAAAAAGCTGCAAATTTTTTTCGATATTTGTCGAAATGTTGATATGTACATATTTTTCAGGCGCTTTGCGTAAATTCTAAAATTTATTCTATAAAAAAAGTTTAATAAACAAAACAATCCGAATCTTGTTCTCCAACCATGAATGGTTGCATCAATTTTCTTTTAGGGTATAATGCAAACCACCATGAGTTATTATNCTTTATAATTCTATCAACACCCCTTATTGTCTCCAAGCCTTCGTTAGCTGAGAAAACGGCTTTGAATTTTTCCAACACCAATTTGGCAAGAGGTCTCTGCGCTTCTATAAGCCGCATGGGCAATGTGTATATTTTTTAATCTTAAAAAAAAATGTAAATGCTATAATCACTTTTTTAAAGGTAGAAAAGGCAAAAAAAGGCAAATATCTTAAAAAAGGCAAATATCTTAAAAAAGGCAAAAAAAGGCAACATCAAATGTGTATATATGGAATCAGGGAAAGCTAAATCGTGGACATTCTTAATCGAATATACTCTACCTCTTTAGCAGAAAAAAAGGCAATTTCCATAAAATCCGTTCCCTGGTTATTACGTTTTGACCTTAATACTTCAAAAATGGGTTACTACATATTTTCACGAAGAAAAAATAGTTTTATTATATAATTCAGTTATTCTACATATTCTAAAAAAAGCTGTTTTCAGCTAATTCTAATTTCCTAATAAAAGGATCTAAGTAGTTAAATTCCTGATTCTAAGAAGTTGACTGTGGATAAATGGGAATGCATTTGTATTTGTTTTGTCGGGCAATTATACAGAATCTCCCTCGAGATCTCATCGCCCTCAAGACAGAGCCGATAAGTCCATAAAGACGATTGGTATCAAGCTGTCTAAGGAACTCTACCGCTCCGCAGTAGTTACTACGTTTTGAGATTAAGTTTTCAGAATTTTAAAGTCTCAAAAAATGCCACTAAATGTTCTGTCCTCAAGATCTTTGTTGCGTCGGTTAGTAGCGAGCAGAATGGTATAGTGGTCTTCGCCGCCAAGAGCTGACGAGTTGACAAATGACAAAATACTCTGACCACCCATTAAAAAATGCTCAGTCTTATTGGAGAGCCTCGAAAAGCCGCTGATCCGTCTGAAAGGATAAAGGAAGCCTTTTTCAATACATATTTTTTGCATATCGATATTGCTAACAATGGTATATTGTGGTAAATTATGAATATTTTAGGTTATTAGGTGCGTTCATTTGTTTTCCGATATCAACTCTCATTTGTAGACATGTTTGAACCTAGATTTCGAAATATTTGGATGCTTTTACATTGTTAATGTTAAATAATATAGGTAAGGTTAGGTTAACGTGGCAGTCAGTCGAAAAACCAACTCACTTTGATGCTGCAGGTCCATTGTGATACCACTGTGAAATACATAAAATTCATTGACTATATTTCATGGAACCATTTTGGAGCTGGGATGAAGTGTATAATGCTTTTATTCCTACAGCGGATAGTTCTGTGAGACAGCTAAATAATTGCTTACCTAATAAGCCTGCTCTTCTCTGGACTAAAACTGCGTAACTGCAGAAGAAATATTCGACATCTACGCAATTTCTAAAAAATTCATGGCAGAATACTTCTAGTGTCCAATGACTCGTTAAACAAGTCGTGGCATTCGAAATGTCCGCTCTTAGGAGGCTCTGCAGTTCTTCCGTTTTTTTAAATATTAATTTGCGGTTATAGTAGCCTAGCTATTCTACAAGTACCCTCAGCTAACCATTACTTACAGGCCTCTTGGATAATAATGCTATTCTAATCATTAATTCGCAGGTTGTCATGGGTATAACAATTCTACCTACGTTATCACATAGTGGAAGGTTGGTACCTTTCCTGACCAACTTATCGGCCCTAAAATTTTCTGCAATATATCTATGTCTCGGGATCTATATGAGGTTGACCATGAAAACGCTGCTAATATCATTTAGGGTTGCCAGGCATTCCTGTGCAACCTTTGATCTTAGCATTCATAGCTTTGATGGCCGTCTGCCTATCCGAGAAAATATTTATCTTTGTCCTCGTTGTGGCGTGTTTATTAAGGTACACATCCACC